TCCTTAAATAAAGCTTTGTGTTTGCTTGTCATGGCTTAACTTTTGACACAGAGGCCAGACATAGCAAAATTAAATAACAATTACCGCTGTTTGTTTTCTTGAGACATTGATGTCAGACATTGATAAATAAAATGAAAGAAACAGAAAAAAAAAATGACATGGAAAATCCTTCAAGTACCAGCTGGGGGCAATCCAGCATTACGAATGTGGGAGAGGAAGAAAAGTCAAGACAAGATCACTTCTAAACCATGCTGCAGCATGAGCCGGTGCCTTTTCTTCTCAAGTGAATGTCTTAGCCCTCTAAAAGCGAGGGCCCTGGACCAGTTTTGAGACAACTGATTGAAAATTTCCTCTTCTCTTTGTTATCACACGTTTCTATAAGAAGTAATTGTTAGTTTAGATGCCAACCGAGCTTCACAATCTTTCAACTGATGCAAGCAGCTGGCTCAGTGCTGTGACCTGCATACCCCCTCTATAGGCATGTGTGCTTTGTTAGGTGATTTAACCGGCTTTCTATGAAATTTCTATGTCTAGGGATACTGCCCAGGCTGTACAGCGCCTCTTGGAATGCTATAGAGATGATGGCATCTTTACTCATATTGATTTATACTGAGGTTCATTCCTTTCTCATTCTCAGTAAAACCATAATACAACCAAAAAGCATCCTTGCTGTTATAAACCTTCATTATCCTTTAAAAATTATAAGCAAGATCCCACAGGAGGTGCAATGTAGAACTTAATATATTTTCATTTTTAGGATGAGTTAAATATAATTGTATTGTATCTAAAATAGATCTTTCTGGATTACTCATAGTAAAATAGATGTTGGTAGATCAGACAAAGGGAGATCTATAAACACTACAGGTGACAGAAAAACTCCCATGGTGTGATGGCTCCACTTGTCCTGTCTTAGCATGACCGAGGAGCCCCACATCATTACCATGGCTCCCTTCAGCAATTCCTGTCCATCTCCTGATGGTCAGAGAGAAGCTGTGTTTGGCTGTGGTGCCTTCTCTTTCAGGAACTCTCCGTTCTCTTTCAGAACCTTATGAAGATGAAACCTTCCTCTAAAGTGTTACATGAAGATTTCATGCAAACCAAGCAGGTCATTGTTCCTTAAGGGCAGGACTCTCTGTTGTCACTGAGAAATATTTTACCCTGTTGTGACCTGTGATTTTATTTTGTAGTGTTTGGCTACTTTTAGTCCAGAGTTTCATTTTTACTTTGTCATTTATTCTATCCTCTATAAATTTAATCATTGCATTTCTGAAGCTCTCTGAATATTTACTAGCTTAGACTTACAGGGCAGTATAAAAGTAATAACTGAGGTACACTGGTTTCCAAAACTCAATTCAATAAGATTAGAAAGTAATCTTCCTGAAAGATGAAAGGAAATGGGTGTTCAAACACAGGCTTGTAATTTTTTAAATTGATTTATTTGTTATTTATATAGCACACCAGAAGAGGGCACCAGATCACACTATAGATGGTTGTGAGCCATCATGTGGTTGCTAGGAATTGAACTCAGGACCTTTGGAAGAACAGCCAGTGTTCTTAACCTCTGAGCTATCTCTTTAGCCCCAGGCTTGTATTTTTGACAGTTCGGTACATGGACTACTTTAAACACGGTATATACTCACTCATATAAACATACAACATAGAATAAACCCACTAAAATCTGTACATCTAAACAAACTAAGCGAAAGAGAGGATCCTAACTAAAATGTTCAATCCCCATCCTGAAAGGCAAAGAGGATGGATATCAGAAGAAAAAGAAAACAGGAAACAACCTAGGAACCTGCTACAGAGGGCCTCTGAAAGCCAGAAGAAGAAAACAGAAAACAACCTAGGAACCTGCCATAGAGGGCCTCTGAAAGCCTCTGCCCTGCAGACTGTCAAAGCAGATGCTGAGCCTGATGGCCAACTGACGGGCAGAGTGAATGGAATTTTATGTAAAAAGTGGGAAATAGTAAGAGCTGGAGAGGACAGGAACTCCACAAGGAGAGCAACAGAACAAGAAAATTTGAACACAGGGAACTTCCCAGAGACTCATACTCCAACCAAGGACTATCCATGGAGATAACCTAGAACCCTGACAATGCAGCCACTTCTGATGAGAACTGATAGACTAAGATCAGAAAGGAGAGGAGGACCTCCCCTGTCAGTGGACTTGGGGAGGGGCATGCATGCAGGGGAGGGTGGGACCGGGAGGGGCTTATGGGGGGATACAAAATGAATAAAGTGTAATTAATAAAAGTTAAATAAAAAAATTAAAAAAAAACAAGATTCATATAAAAAACACTATCCACTTTTGGAAAACTGTTGCTTTCTTAATTGGAAAATTTGGTCAAGGCCTCTAAGCATAGATAAACAAATACCTAAAATTTTCATTTAAAGTAAATTGCTATTACTAGTGTGTTTTGTTTATAAGATTGACTTTTGTACTGAATAAACCAAAAGGGATAAGGATAAGAGAAGGGATAAATATGATTAAAGTGTGTTGTGTGCGCGTATAAGAATGACAATGGTGAACCTCATTAGTTTGTACAATTAATGTGCACTCAAAAAAGAGAATCTGGTGGCAACAGAGTGTCGGTTATTTTCAGATGTTAGGACAGTTTCAGGTCTTATGCGCAATTTTCTATGCTGAGATCATGTCGTGCAGTGTGAGTGACCGAGCTGCCAACTGATTTCTTTCAAGTCCTCCCAGGTCAACTCACTGCAGTCTCACAGTGTCCCATCCCATTGCTCATTTAGTCTTACCCCGTTAGATACTATGATGTGGTAGGCTTGAATTTTTCAAAAGCCTACCTTATTTAGGGTTCTTAGATGCCTGTACCTCTCTTCCATCCCCCTGACCCAAGTTAGGAGAGAAAGCAGGGTAGAAGAGACAAGAGACACAGACTTCTCTATCTACTTCCTGCTGGTACCTTTTTCTGCTTCAGGTTGTAGTTGTACTTTTTTCTTAGAAGCCAGGCTTTTAAAAATTTTTTTAATTGTAAAAATTTCCAACACTTATTTACTTACCTTTCATTTTGATGTGTTTTATTTGAGTTTATTTTCTTTATATTCCAAGAACCATGCCCTCTTTCCTCTCCTTTCAGTCTCCTCCTTCCCCCTCTCCCTCCTCCCTCTTATCCTTTTTCCCTTTTGCTCCAGAAAAGGGAAGCCACCTCCTTCCTAGGTATCAACCCTCTGAAGCATATCAAGTCACATCTGGACTGAACATTCCCTCGTTCACTAAAGCCAGGCAAAGAAGTCCTGGCAGGGGAAAGTGATCCAAAAGCACACAATAGAGTCGTGTTGGAAACAGCCCCCTCCCCCCTGACTCAACAGCTGACCCACATGAAGACTAGCTACCCATCAGCTGCATATGTGCAGGGACCTACGTCTAGACCATGCACGCTCCTTAGTTGGTGTCTCAGTCTCTGTAAGCTCTAGTGGGTCTGGGTTAGTTGCCTCTTTTGGTCTTCTTGTGAGGTTCCTATCCCCTCTGGGTCCTTCCATCTTTCCCGCAACAGTTCCACAAGGCAACCCAGAGTTCTGTCCCATGCTTGGCTGCAAGTTCCAGCACCTGTCTCAATCTTTTATGGCTGGAGCCTCCCAGAGTACAGTCAAGTTAGGCTTCTGTCTGGAAGCATAGCAGAGCATCATTAATAGCATCAGAGGCTGGCTATCTACCACGGGGTGGGTCTCAGGTTGGACCAAGCATTGGTTGGACATTCCCTCAATCTATGTTCCCTCATTATCCCTGCTCTTCTTGTAGGCAGGTAATCTTTGGATCACAGGTTTTGTGAGTGGGTTGTTGTTCCCCTCCCTCCACTAGTATTCCTGCCTGGCTAGGAGGTGGTCACTTCAGTCTTCATGTCATCTCCTGACCCACTGCTGAAGGCTGCCAGCTTGTCAAAGAGATGCCCCCTTAGTTTCCCTTCTTTCTCCCAGCCCTCTTGCTTCCCATCCTTGTTCTCCCACACTGATCCTCACCCTCCTTCCCCTCCTCCCCATTCCATCCCCTGCCCAGTTCCCTCTCTTCATCCACTTCTGCTGTCTATTCTGTTTCCTCTTCTGAGTGACATTCTGGCAGCCTCCCTTGGGCCTTCTTTGATACTTAGCTTCTTTGGGTCTGTGGATTACAGTATGGTGATCCTGTACTATAGATTTAATAACCACTTATGAGTACACACCATGTGTGTTTTGGGGTCTGGGTTACCTCACTCAGGATGATCTTTTCTAGTCCCATCGATTTGCCTGCAAATTTCATGATTTCCTTTTTTTTAATAGCTGAGTAGTATTCCATTGTGTAAATGTGTCACCAATTTTTATACATTCTTTGGTTGAGGAGCATCTAGGTTATTTCCAGTTGGAAGACAGTCTCAATTCCAAAGTGGCCCTTGTCTATTCACCACCTAGAATCTTTATAATTTTTATTGTTTCTATTCTTATAAAGATTAAAATACATTCTTTACCCAACAATCAATGAAAAGATATCATGTCCTTTTAGAAATACTTTGTAATACAGAAACTAAATTTAGTTCATAATTGTTTTATGAGTTCTACCTACTATTTTACAGTTAATGAAATGTTGATCACACATTATACATACATAATTTAAGTAAGTTAGAATTGTCATTGAAGGTGTTTTCTTTTTTTGCCCACCAGAAAGCTGTCATATACTTGGTTGACACAAGACATTTGTGAAAGCAATAATGATGGCTGGTGAATGGGTGGCCTCAGTGGGAGGATAAAAACTGTTTGTAATTGAAGGTAGAATGGATAAGAAGATGGATAGATAGACATATTTCTGTCCTTTTAGTTTAGTTGTTGTTGATGTTGTGTGTATGTTTGCTTTTAAAAAACAAGACAGGGGCTCTATAGGTACCCCTGGAACTTCCTCTGAGGACCAGGTTGACCCTGAATTTGTAGCAATGTGCCTAGCTGCAGAGCTCTAAATGGCCTTCTCGATTCTGTGCATATATGACATTTGATTCTCTTCTTCCTAGCCTTATTGTTCACTACACCTTCATCTGAAGGTCTCTGAGAATCCCTACACGTCTGGGATCATTGCCAGCAGAGATACAGCCCCAAGTATTATAGTTGCATCAGGTAAAGAGAATGCATGCTTTTCTTGCTATTATACATGTGTTTATTTTAAGTAACTAGACATCTGTGCTTGGAATTTAATGAGCAAGCTAAAAATATTTCTGAAAGCCACCTAAACCATTGACCCTGAAGTGAGTCTACTTAAAATCCCTGCTTAGAAGGAAAGTTTGCAGTTGAAATTCTGCTCAGGCGGTGCAGACAACTGATGTGATTTGTTCTTGGCTTTTTTAGAAAGTTCCTCCCGCTAATGACATGCACTCTTTCTAGGTAATATAGGGTCTGAGTTGTCAGACAGCGACATCAGCATGTTTGTGTCTTCTGATGCAGGGAACACTTGGAGGCAGGTAAGGAAAGACCTGGTCTGGGTTGCACTGCTCACATTCTAACAGCATAATTGCCCAATATATTTCAAATATACAAATCTAAATGTAGCATTGTACATAAATCCTGACACAAATAATGTGGTTTACCCCCTTTTTCTAATGCAAGTTTGAGATGAATCAAGTCAAGCTTATGCACATTGATATTTTTATCCTTTCATAAAGATTCTTCTTAACAAAGGTCCACACATAAACACATCTTCAATAAAGTTGGAGAGGATTTTGATGTAAGAGAAAATAGAACCCCCAAGTCTATCATGTAAGAAACTTGGATCCTGCCAGGTGGATTGCACACATACAGCTGAGCTTTCTTTCTAAGTTCTCCTTGTCTGGAAGAGAAACAAAAATAGCCATCTCCCAGGTGGTATTCTGAGGTATTTAAATCTCATGTGTAAATGACACAGTAATAACTATCAGACTGCACATGTTCAATAAATACAAATGGAGCCACTTTAAGCCAGTGTGTTTAGCTTAATGCTTCGTGCCTTTCTTCTGAATGAAAATTAGATTTCAACAGCTGATAAAATAGGCATTTAATGAGATTTATCTACCATAACAAGGTATGAGCCTAATGTATAACTGTTATACCTCAGTAAATATGTTTTAATAAGCCTCTGGTGCTTAATTATCATATAACAACTAGCATTATAAATTGAAAACTAATGCATGAGCAATCATAACTTAACAATGACCTCACTCTGCTTGAAATGTCACACGAGAGTTGGACATAATAGCTTAGTGCTTATTCCTAGTTCTTAGTTTTAAACTCTCAATGATATTTGCATATTTTGACAAACAGCAACACAGAAGAAATGTTGAGGGTTTGAAGGAAGATGAACAATTCTGAAGAAACTTTAGGAGAACAATGCCAAGATTCCATTTTCTTTCTCCTGACACTAACCAAGGCATAGAAATTTCTCCTGCTACAGACTGTGGTCATGTACTGTGTATAAGAATTAATGGGGCTAGAGAGTGCCTGCCTGAATGAGTACATTCCATTCTGTGCTTCTAGAGAGCCTAAGCTTAGTTCCAAGCACCGACATCCTGAAGTTTATGACTATCTGTAACTCTAGCTTCAAGGTGTTCAATGCCCTCTGCTAGCCTTCTGGCCTCCTGCAATATGACACACATGCACACACACACAAACACAGATAGACAGAGAGATAGAGAGAGAAAGAAAGAAAGAGACACAGAGAGAGAGAGAGAGAGAATCAAATGAGAGAAATTATGTATGGAGGGTAAGTTGAGATGAGCCAATTATAGCATTTTAGCTGAGAACACAGAATACATCTTGTGTAGAAGAATTAGGAAACCCTTTCCAGAATGTCTCCATTTGACTTTGAATTCTTTTTCGCATATCTTATGAAAGATTCAGTGACAAATGTGACCAAAATTGACAATTTTATCTTTATTAGAACATTTGAAACTTGTAAGTTCATCTATGAGTCAAATGAGAAAACATTTCTTTGATCAAGTGTGGGAATTTGGAGGTAAGTAGTTACATCTGCACAGGGCAATGCAGGGCAATGAGCCCCACTTTCACCCATTGCTATTTGAGCTTCCTTGGTCTACCAGTCTTAGTATACAATAGAGACTATTGCTCTAAACTGTCTCCAGGTTTCCTTACACCCAGATATGTACACTTTCTTACAGCTTCCCAGTGCCCTAACGTCATCTATAGAGGCAGCAATGAATAAATTCTGCCATGAAGATAAGAGAATATAGATGTAAATATATACTGAATGCACTTAAGATTAATTTTGTAGGACTATAAAGTTGCCTGATATCGCATCAGTGGGATGTAGCGCATGTTGAGAAGCACTGTTTTATTGCTTGCATTTTCTCAAATATTAGGGGAAACTTCTTTCTATGAGAGATATTTTAATCTTCTTATGTAGTCTGATTTTGTGTGCCCTGACCACCAGGTACAGATTTAATGTATGCCCGTGTATTCTTTTGTTTTCTCATCCAGATCTTTGAAGAAGAGCACAGCATTTTGTACCTAGATCAAGGTGGTGTCCTGGTTGCTATGAAGCACACATCTCTCCCAATTCGACATCTTTGGTAAGGGCACTCCAGCTTAGGAAAAATACACATGGTCATTTATGTTTATCAGAATCAGTCCCCAAATCATATAACTGTGATTGTTCTAGCTAACATCTTCTACTAGTACATAATTTAATGTTTGTTCTGTTGAAATAAGATTGTGACCTATGTTTTTGAAAAGGGGAAGTTGTGGGCAAATTAGAAGGATGGGTAAGTGTCTCAGCTCCTAAGAGATCAATTGCATTATGGTTTTCAAATGTGGCAATGCCTGTATCATTTCCTTAGTTCCTCAGCCCATCACACAGGGAAAATACTTTCAGGGTATCTCATAATCTCTGAGTGGCAACAGTGCTTGCAATCATTCATCCAAAAGGGCATTTCATGAAGTGCAGTTTCTACACAGCTTTGTGCATCCCACGCAGAGGCTTGAAGTTCTGCTCCTATCTCGTTTTGCCTGTGTGACTTCCTTAGGTCCCTTTAATGAGGTGATATTATACAAACCTCTCTGTGTCTTGTACTGAAGGATGTCCAAGGCCTAATGTCTGCAGGGTTCTTACTTATACATATTTGGAAGTGGTTCTCTGCATATTGTGCTTGTGCAAAGTCTAAAACCTGATTTTACTTCCACTTTTGTGTGTATTAATGACCTCAGGAGAAAACTGCAAAAGATGAGCAAGTGCAAATATTGAGGGGAGGCACCTGCAGGAAGATGGAGTAAAACGTAGCCTCCTGTGCAGTGGTCTCAGCTGATGCTCAGGCTGCTATATCCAAATACCACAAACAAGAGAACTCACGGACAACAAAAAATCATTTCATGGCTTTGTCTGCTCAAAGTATAAGCTAAAAGTTCTGGCCAGGTCCATGTCTGCTGAGGAACCACTTTCTGATTCCGAAATGGTGCCTGTTGCTGTGTTTCCACATGATACAAAGGACAGGGCAGTCCAAGGCTTTTCCTATGAGACAGCAGGTTCATTCCTGAGGACTCTACCTTTAACCTCACTCTCCCCAAGTACCCCTTTCCTAATACCATTAGTAATTAATTTTTAGCATATGGACTTTGAAGCGAACACAGACATTCATATTACAATAGACTAACAGAGGTTCAGGCTTTCCTTGCCCTCAGGAGTCTGTTCTTTTATTCGGTGAGGTCAGCAATGATTCATGTAATGTAAGTGAGGCTTTCCTATAAGATGATCACTTAAAGTTGGATTTGTCAAATTTTTGTCAAACTTGCTTGTTGTCTATGCCCAGTACCAACAATAAGACATTGCAGATTTAGAGATAATTCCATGATTTAAGAACTTAAAATATCTAAATTATTTCCTGCCATTAAATTATTCCCATTTCATGTGGCTCTCCCTTATTCATGCCTCAGCATATCTGGTTATAGTAGCTGAAGTATCTTTGTTATTATTCTCTTTTGATATAATGAAATTATCTGTTTGTAATGAAGTCTCACTTTGTTATCATTTTTCCGCTGGTAACTAATATCTTGTTTTACCCAGAGATATTACCTTTTACCTTTGACATGTGATGACTATTAAACTGTTTTGCCACTAGGTTGAGCTTTGATGAAGGGAGATCTTGGAGCAAATACAGTTTCACATCCATTCCACTTTTTGTGGATGGGGTTTTGGGGGAGCCTGGAGAAGAAACACTAATCATGACGTAAGTGGTGAGGTGCAATTCCTTCATACAGTGATACAGAAAACATAGAGAGGTGTTTTGGAGTTGAGCCCGTTGGATTTGTTAGTCTGGAAGTTATTGGCAATGTTAGTACATCTTAGTTCAAGAACCTCTAGCAAAGAAGAAAACGACCCAAGCAGAGGGATAGTAGGAAGAGAACTGTGATCTTTTCTTTCTGTACTCAAGAAGTTTAAGAAAATTAACAAGGCCTGTCTTAATAAAAAAATAAAGATTATATATTTTTAAAATGGAATGATAATGTGAAAACTGGATATTCTAGATGTTTAGGGCCATGACATTTCATTTTCCCCTCACTCATTGCCTTATATAATTGTGAGGCAGATCGAGGAAACTAAGAACGACTAGCTTTGCAAGGCTAAATTTTACACTAACTTTTGTCTGAAAAGTAATGATCATTAATTCATGAGAGACTTGATTAATGCCTCAACTGCCTACGGGTTTCAAAACTTGAATAGAATTTGCAATATGAAACACAGTCCCTTCTTTTAGAAAATCGGCCATGGAAAAACCTGGCAACACAATTCCACTGTAGTTGATCCAAAATCAAAGTGAACAATTGACACATATGTAAACCTCCTCACTTAACAATGACGTAAGACAAGAAAAATCTAATGCCCAGTAGCCATACTTTCACTATTGTACGTGGCAAACACAGCACGTGTACTCAGCAGCTTGCTTTTCTTCAGTCTTTGTGTTTTCAAAGTACAGTTTCACAGACAGAGAAGGTGATTGGAAAGGCTACTTTGTAAACTTTATGTACAATTACGTCTCGTGAATAAATTCTGTATAACTAACTGAATCCCCACAGTGGAGCAGGATTCCCACTGCGAGAGCAGTTGTAGTTACTTGGTCCTATTGTACACTTTCTGAAGGGCCTGATAAGGAGATAATAGAATATGGAAGCCATAGGACCAGACATAGTAACAAGAAAATTTAGAAGTTTATGCTGGAAGACTGAGATTATAATATTTTTGATTATTTCTCCAGACATTTTCTAAATCATTGTTGTGACTTTGAACCAAATACTCTGGGCTCTGGCTTTCTTGGTTGCTAGTGACCTGACTTTGCTTTTTCTGTCTTGCAAAAAGAAAATCTTTGAGCTTCAATATATCCATCTGCAAAATGCAGTTAATGATATAACCTTCTTTTCATAAATGTATTTGGCAATTAGATGTGATCTATGTCCTGTAAGCAGTACACCATCTTTACAGCAGGCGATGTAATACAAACTATTCTTACTAAGGTTATTATATTTATGATTGTGACTGTCTATCACTGTAAACCCTGTAGAGTGTTTGGACACTTCAGTCACCGCTCTGAATGGCAGCTGGTCAAAGTGGACTATAAGTCCATTTTTGATAGACGCTGTGCTGAAGAAGACTACAGACCATGGCAGTTACACAGCCAGGTAAGAATTAGAGAGATGAGTCTAAACCTTGGGAAGAAGGCAGAGGCAGTGTCGAAAAACTGCTACTCCTTAAGGCTTAAGAATTGGAGTTCTCAGGTCCACAATGTCCATTTCACTCTTCCATGTTTTATGTCTCACAGCATAAGCAAACACAACATTTTTATCCCGTTGTGGAGTTTTTTTGTTTTGTTTTGTTTTGTTTTGTTTTGGTTATGCTAGGACAGAATAAGATAAAAATTCAAGTGGCTTTGCTTAGGTGTACATCTCACAATGAAATACCAAGTCAGCAGTGAGCACCAAACATAATTTGTCTCAGTGTAGCATAGGGCTGCATGATAGAGGCAGAGTGAGCGATGGTTTTTCAGTTCCAACGAGCAAACAGAGCTAAGGCATGGAATAATCAAGCCAGGCTGAGTGAGTGATGCTGGAAGAGACCTTCCACATTTCCCTGATTCCCAAGGAGTCTATAGTGGCTCCTGCCTCCTCTGAAATACGTACGGTATAAGAATGTGAAATTGTTAATAGAGAACTGTCCTCCATCATCCCTCTCAGTCATTCATCTTAGATCACAAGCCTTGGAGGAGAGCTTCTCTCTTTGATTTCCCAAGGCAGAAGTCAATCTGCAGGCCATTCAGAGGATACGATAGACACACCCACCAGGAAGTCGTGCCCACATTCAGGCAGTAAAACATCGCACACCCATACGCTGACTGGGAGCAGTTAAAGTGAGCTTCATCGGTAAAGGCCAGGGATAATACATTTAAAAAAATCTCCTCTGATTTTTCACAAACATAAAGGTGCTGTATTTGATCGTGGGTGCAGCATTAGCAAGGCACACTCACTGTATTCAGAGGCTCAACAATCGCTTTTTCACACACATTACTGTTGTTTTTACACATTGTGATAGTTTTGCACATTGTGATAGTCACAACTTTTATTGATTGATTGATTGACTGATTGGGAAAAGATTGAATTTAGCTTTCTTTCTTGTCTGGTAGCTGATCATAAAATCCGTGCTATAAAGCTATGTGGAAAGAAACATAATAAATTGAAATAAAATGGGCATTTATATTTCTTAGCAATGCTCCTATTTCATGTGCTCATAAAAGGACCAATTGTATAAATCCTTTGTAATACGAAAACTGAACTTAATTTTTATAGGTTAGCAAATAATTTGTAAGTTGGAGGTTATTACACATTCCTGTGTGCCCTTCATTGCACTAAGCCTAACACTTTGACAAACAAAGTCTTGCTTGCTATATAAGGAGTTAAGGCTAGTATTAGAAAAATCTGCATTGTTTTTGGAGGCTGCATTTGTGTTCCTACTTCACAACACACATTGTATTGATATTAAAGTTTCTGCATATCTCCCCAAACCACATTGCATTGCAATAGAAGCCTAACTTACATGCTCGATTTTGTGTGATATTTGTCTCCTTGCAGGGGGAAGCATGCATTATGGGAGCCAAAAGGATATATAAAAAGCGGAAATCTGAGCGGAAGTGTATGCAAGGAAAGTACGCAGGAGCCATGGAGTCTGAGCCGTGCGTGTGTACAGAGGCAGATTTTGACTGGTGAGCTTCTATTGCCACCTGACAGAGCTGTCCAGTAATGTGCTGTTCACGAAGCTCCTCAGGAAAAGCTTAGAGTTGAGAGAGTGGTAACTAAAGCCAAGTGGCATGCCTCATATTTTTATAAAATTCTCTCTTGGCAGAGTCATGGTTTTTATTAGCTGTGTGAATGTGTTTTTTCAAAAGAAAACAGTTTCTTCTTTGAATTTTAAGAGGCCTTACAAGATGGTTGGTAATTATTTTCATACTGATGAAGGTTCTCAGAGAAAAAAAAAAAAAAAGAGCAGCCAGACCTCTCTCAAGCTGCTTTAGATAGCAGCATGTAAAGTAGTAACTGGTGTTCTCAGAGAGCAAATATGTTTATGTGCCACAAAAATTCTTTCTAGAATCTATCATCCTTAGTAGGCATAATAACCTTAAAAGGCATAAATTCTCTGTCCCTGAACGTTTTCAATCTGTGGTGGTCAACTAACCACAGCTTATGAGAGTGTTGAGTGACATTTATGAACTCAATGCAAGAGTGGACTCAAATTGACCCTGTGAGCTGAGTGGTAATAGAGCTAGTTTAAACTGGAGAGGCAGAGAGACACTGGGAGGTTCCAGCTAAACACAGAGAGCAGTGTAATTCTTCCCAAGCATTCGACAAGAAGAAATCTATATGGTAGAGCCAACAATGCTCTTGCCTTGTTCTTGGTCGAAGTTTTATGTTCAGGTGAAATTGAAAAATTATTGAAGAAGACTAATATTAATCCATTACATTTTCTGTTGCTCTTTTTCTCTTACACTTTTCTTATCTATCTCAGAATACGTACTAGAGGAAACAAGAAATACATATTTATGTAAAAGTTAAATGCTTGAAACTTGAACCATATGTAAACTATTAATTCTTGTCATTTTGATTTTAGCTGTACCTGTAACAGGCCACATGTATAATCACCAGAACATGAGTGAATTATGTGAGGCGCACATTCTATACAGGCATCTCACGTCGTAGAAAAGTTAGTCTTTAATGGTGACCACTAGAGACATTCTCTGAATTAGTGGTGCTGAGAAAGCCTGCCAGTGGTCAAACCAATAACCCACCATTGTTTTCCCTTGTTAGTAAGCAAGCAAAATCAACCAAGAGCCAGCGTTGAAGCTCTTTGCACTTAGCTAGAGGGCATCAGAACTTAAGCAGCAGTGGAGCTCATAGGCTTCCCCAACTTGGGTTTCTGTCAATGATGCATAACTGCAATCAATTTATTTTATTCGTACCCTTCCCTTGGGACTAACACCCATTAAGATACTCACAGAAATACCTAACATGAGATTTTAAGTCATCCACTACATCCCTCTTTCTGAAGCTTGGCCAATTCTTGATCATCTATTTATTGAAGTAGAATTTGTGAAGGAAGTCAGTAAGTTACATTACTGGAAGAGCTATGAAGTAGCCATTCTTCAGAAAGAGCAAAAAACTCCTCTAGTAGGAAATAGAAGAGAAAATGGGGATAAGGTATCCCATATTCTGCTTCTTTTTCATGAAAATATTTTTTCTCTTTGAAAATTTTTTTCCTAAAATATTTTAATATAAGCCAATATTTGGTTTTTCAAGGCAAAATGAATATAAGATAAGGAAATGAATTAGGCTTCTTTCTGTGTTCATCTTGCATGTCTGTCTAGTTCAGATCCTTGAATTCCTCTGGTGACAGGAGTCTGTTACCAGTCCCACAGGCTGAAGGAGCAGAAAATGAGTCTTATGTAGTGTTATTGTAAGATTTTTTTTGCTCAAATGGATTTTTTTTTTTGTGACTGCATGGTATCTGAAAAATATTTTGGAAGGGTCCCCATGCCCTTGTTGAGCTTCCACTAGTAGCTGGGTTTTCTATAGCCTTACTTGACAGTACGTAATGAAAGATGCTGACACTGGACGCTCCTTGTTAGCCAGGCTCTCTGGATATTTCCCATGCGCTACTGTGTCACTCTCTAGCTTTTGTAAGGTTTTTCCTTGAAGTGAACACTGGGTATTCTAGAAGTGGCTATTCTGTAGTCTTCCTATTCATGTTGTGTTGAACCAGGCACTAACCCAGAGGGTAAGTACAGAATTTGCAGTTCTAACTGTCCTATGACAGCCCTCAGGGCTGGGCTCATTTCTCCCTACATGCACAGCATGTGCCAGCATCTCACCTCTATTACAAAGACGAGCCAATTCGTGCTAATGCTTGCCCATTGCTTCCTGTGATTTTTCTGTGATTGTGGAGGTAAAATTTGTGGTCCTTTTCTGTGCCCAGTTTTATCTTCCAGAAGCCAAGAATACCAGAGGCCCCTGGAAGCAAGCATGAATAGAGACTAAGAGAAAAAAAAAAGTTTTGAGCACTTTCAATGCAGAGGCAAGATGTAAGGTAGTTAGTACCAACTGGCTCTGCTAACTGCTGAGGACAAAACTTTTCCTTGGGGAAGTGTTTGAGATACTCCTGAAGGGCATTTTCTTTTTGGCTGTAACTCTGAAGCATATGGCTTGTACGCAGGGAAACCTGGCTCTGCTCTACTTGTTACAACCAGATGTTTTGGAAGAGCATCTCAAAGACATCACAGGCAATGAGGACTGTGCCACATGTGGCTGTTAACCTCGGCAGTGATGTTTCCACGGAGACTCAAGCTCCCAACACAGCCTAGTTCCTAATTCTCTTCCTCATTACACAAGAACAAAGCTTCTCCTTTATCTTAAAGGTGTTTAAATGGGAATATTTCTCCTATAAGATATTTTCATGGTCAATAGATAATGTATAGACTAAAAAAAACCCTTAATTTTTGGATGATGTCGCTCATTTTATTGTCTGATTAGAAGTTGGTTGTTGACTGCTATGAAATAGTTCTGAATAAGTTCTAAACATTTTGTCTTGGTATTTCTGCAACAGCGACTATGGCTACGAGAGACACAGTAATGGACAGTGCCTGCCAGCGTTTTGGTTCAACCCGTCCTCACTGTCAAAAGACTGCAGCTTGGGACAGAGCTACCTCAACAGCACTGGGTGAGTTTCTGTGGTAGTAGCCTTCAGGGGACAAGCTCTGATGACGATTTACAAGTGTTTCTTAGTTCTGAAAGGAAACTTAGCTGAAACTTAGTTCCTTTTAATCACAGAGTGGACTTGTTTTCCTTTAACACAATGCATTTTTCGACAGGATGTTGTTTCTTGTCACTATATTGCTGCCATTAAACATTTAGTGTGTGAGAGAGAAACTGACAGAGAGACAGACAAACACACACACAGAGACTGAGACATGTGTGTATGCGTGTGTGTGTGTGCGTGCGCGCGCAGGTGACAGGGGTACATGGTTTTGGAGGCCAGGGGCTGAACTCATGTGTCTTCCTCAGTTGCTTCTCAATGGGATTTTTTGAGATAGGATCTCCCACTGAAGATAGAATTCACCAATTCACTATACTGGTTGGCCAATGAGCTTTAGGGATTTATGTGCCTCAGGATTTATAGTGCCACTTCGCCTAGCTCTTCACATACGTGCTGGTAATCTGAACTCCAGTACTTCCTCATGCTCGCATAGTATGCTACCTCTCCAGTCCAGACACTTAAGCTTTTTGGTTTACATATTTAATTTTAAAAAGAGATACAAAGAATGTTGTATATATTTAAAAATCTAATTTAGGTCATCACTCCAGTCCCAGCCCCATTACCCATACAACCGTGATATATCTGTTGGTATAGGTTTCCAAACACTTCTTCACATTTTAAAAACCATTAATTGCTCCAAGAAAAAATACATAAAATCAACTTGGAAGATTGTTATATGATTTGCTACCAGCTATGTTCTTCTTTAATTTGCCTTTTTCATTCAAAAATATATCTTAAGCATCTTTTCAAATCTGGTTAGTTTGGGCTGTTTTTATCCCTTTTTTATTCTTTCCTATTAAATACTATAGAATTATCTTTTTTTTTTTCATGGACATCTGGGTTATTCTGTTTTTTTCCCTGCCATTAAAAACAAAGCTACAATTAACAGTCTCTACCACGTCCCCTGGGTATTAAAAATACTCCAAGATAATTAGGGTTTCATTTGTTAATTGGAAGTGTTTTTTTCTAGCTTATAGAGAAAAGTACATTCAGCCAACTGATTTCTTCTTAGGCTCACCTATCAGGCATTGCCAATGTTTCTCTCACAAAGATGAAAACGGTAGTTGCTGATCGCATGCGCAGGGGAGTCACAGACTAAAGATTCATCTTAACCAACTACCATCCTCCTGAAAACCCAATGCCAGTGAATTCTCCAGAGGGAAACTGAAATGAGAGGAAAGTTGAGAAAGGTCAATTCAGTTAAATGAAGAATAAGGCTGACCCCGGTGGCAAGAGCCACAAGAGCCACTTTCTGGAGGACAATGTCAAAGCCTTTAGAATTAAGTAGCCAAGTTGACACCAACTTCACTGCCACCTTTAACCCTTGTCCTCATGCCTAGTCAGGATGGAGCCTGTATCAGCAGGATGAAATGCAGAGGGCTCAGGAGCGTAAGATTAGCCTGACAGGACATGCTTGATAGCCTGTTGCTTATTAGACACCTGACTGCCTCACTCTTTGTCAGGTTGCAGAGCACAGAGTATAGACAAACAGTCAGAAGGTGAGCTGCATGAAGTCTTCTAGTGAAAGGTTAATCACTGCAGGTCCTAATGAACAAAGCATGGAGCACCACATCTCTGAGAGTGCACGCAGAGATGTGGTGTGCTTATTTATTTGTAATGGTTTTCTATGTAGTTAATCTGCTTTTAGAATCAGCTAATTATTCTTTGTACATAGCAGTGCTTCTGCATTCACCTACTTCACCAAGATGGAAAGTTTAAGCATAGGTTATTATTATGCTCAATAAGAATGTTATTTTGAGGAGACACCAACATTTTTTATCAACTTAACAGTGTTGAGGTGGAGGGATGATGGCCAGAATTTAGAAGAGATAGGTGTAATGAGAAGCAAATGAGTGAAAACAGCATCTAGGTGTCCTCCATCTTTGCTGTTTGGTCCAGTGGTGTCAGGATTTCTGATGTCCATACATGGAACAGTATGTCAGAAACTCTCTGCTGTTTTCCACCGTTGGCTCCCTGTGGCTTTCTCTTTCTGCCCTCACAACTGTCACACGTTATCATGGTCAGAATCCAAACAAAGGGGCTGAAACAGGTGGTCTACCTGAGATGAACTGAGAGTGAAGTATAATTGGAGAAGTTTTATTTAGTTCAAAAGAGGGGTGCCTTGCTATTTGCTGTTAATCTTTACCTGAAGTTTGTTTTTTTATGCCTCAGTTTCTTAACCTTTGGGAATTTCCTATTTGCATTTAGTTTATGATTAAATGTGTTAAGGTATAGAGAACATGTAGCCTAAAGCGCATGAGACTCATTATTTTGTAATATATAGATCACACCTATAGCTATTATTCAATGCTTTGTTGTTGTAGATAATATGAAATAACTAATAACATTTATTATTAAATGCCTAAGAGGCCTATAATTATTATGGTGGTTATTATGAACCATATCAATAAAACACAAAGACAGCTGATAGATTTTAGATAAACTTTATGTTACCTGGGGCTAGGCAGATATTTTCCTCTAAATTACCTTGTTATTGCCCAGTCTCTATCCCATGCTATCTGCCTTAATCATTCCAATCTGAGCTACTACCTATCTATAAGCCCCAAACACTTGCATATGTTTTCCATCTGGGCAGCTCCTCTCCATGCCGTTCTCAGAGTTCTTCCTTCCAGTCCACATTGCTCCTTTCCTATCCGATGGTGGCTCCTTCTTTCTCCTCACCTCTCTCTCCTTCCCATGATCCTTCAGATCTCAAAGCCTGCAAACTTTTGCCGCAGTGTCCTCTGTCTGCCCTCCCCAGGTGTGGAGGTACTTATTTGGCAAATCAGGGATAACTTGGAGGCAAGGATTACAAACGTCGTTTTGGGGGCACCTGTGAGTGTCTGCTTATGAAAGATAGTAAGCACACCTCGGGGGTGGGTAATTAACAATCAAATACAAGTCACCAGACCATGCTGTGACACTTTCTCTTGAGGAGGGGATTAAAAGAGAAAGAATATTCAGTCTAGACATGCATGATATATTTAATGGCTACTGCAGTGTTAGTACCAGTGACATATTTAATCTACTTCCCAGGCTCATCTATAAACTGGAAACAGCACTCTCCAAAGATCCATAAAGTCACCTGATTAGGAAATGATGTGCCACCCACTGTCATAATGTCACCTGCTTAGGATGTGATATCCCAGAAATGTGTAAACCAGGAACCATGTCTATCCCTCTGCACTGGCCAGGCCCGACAACTAGCTTGCCTAATTATTGAACCGGTTCCTTTGTTTCAAGTACGATGAAAACCACATTAATTTGTGTATTGTACTGCATGTATATAACGAGTTAATCCTAAATCCTTCCCTCACCCGCCTTTTTCTTTTCTCTCCAGCAATGTCTCTATATAGCTCAACTTGTGAATGCATAAGCTTATCTGGTTATACATATATGTAATGTTTATACTGTTTGTAATCAGGGAGAAAACTGCAAATTTAAATTGCTAAATTAAAGGACATTGCTTATTTCATATTACAGTGGAGATATGGGACCAGTTTATTCTAAGAAAACAAGGCAGATTTCTTAAGGGACAGATTTCTTCTGGTTGTTAAGTTAGAGCTATTTCTAACTGTGTTCATAAGAATATGTGTAGAAATTTCTATCTATGGAGTTTCTTTATAGGATCCCTTAATCCCCCATGGAGTAATATTCAAGCAATGTTGTTCATAGTTAGTTGCTTAATATATAATAGGGATGTTTACTCAAGAGGCTCACTTAAAAAATAACATAAGGGAAGTATCTATATAAAAATATTTAATGGGTCCATGAATAAAATATCACATATTCATGGAAGCAAAAGAACAACTTCCATATTATTACCATATACTGGAATGTTTTAAAAATATAGTGTTTATAAATATAATACTCTCTCCACCAGCCATAGATGCAGACCTTGGTTAATCTAATGTTGCCGTGTAATTTTTGTTTCCAGTCTCATTGTGAGGGAATTCAGGTTCTTCCCAACTGACTATTCTAAGTGACCTGTGGATCCCGATGCCCAGTCTGATCTATACTTTGTGAGATTTTCCAGTGTGCATCAAGAAGAATAATTAGTCTTAAAAGTAGTGCATGTGTTGAAAGTCCACAGAAAAGAAATCACTTGTGTTATTTACAGACAGATCACTGCAGGGGCCGGTGTAGCTGCTTTCTAGCCAAGACTCCTGGGGTCTCACAGTGGGTACAAACTAATTGTTACCTGCTATGAAGCTGTCGGCTAGATGAGGTGTCCCCTCTTTCTGGGGATGGCATAGCAGCTGGGAAGTGGATGAGATGCGCCTTACTGTCGTGGGGAGCCCTCCTTTACATGCTTGCTCCCACCCATGTCGATGATGCTGGGATTAGAGATTCCCACCCAGGGGCTGGGATGCTGTGGCATTGCTAGTTTTTCATCGTGTGATCTTGGGCCGCTCAGGTTACACAAAACAAAGGTCCTGTTGTAGATGTTTACAGATGCCTTCATCGTTGGCGTTTTATTAACTCATTTAGATGATTCAAAATAAAATGTTTGGTCTGTTTATGCTTAAGGGGAAGGAAAATATTATGAGATTTAGTTGTACAAATTGACCCAGATGGTGGATTCTGGGAGTCCCACTTAAGACTGATTCCAGTAAGTCATTTAGTCAAGTGTGTCCATATGAACTATTTCATCAAATCTGTCTTCAAAATGAAGCTGTATTTCATTTACTATTCAAAGTGAGTTGTGCTTCTATTCTGTTTTTTTATTATCATTTATTACAAATTATTCAATTTGTGTGCCAGTTGTTGCCCCCTCCCTTGTCCTCTCCCAATCCTACCCTCCCTCCCTCTTCTCCTCTATGCCCCCTAGTCCATTGATAGGGGAGGTCCTCCTCCCCTTCTATTTGACCCTAGCCTATTAGGGCTCATCAGCACTGTTTGCA